ACACATAAAACTGTAAGACCTCAGAGGTGAGTTCGAAATTCGTAAGGCCTCGATAAGGCATTATTTCAACCATAAGTGCTCGAGAAGGCGGGTCCAAATTCATAAAATCTCAAAAGAGGTAATGCCGGCCTCATCATCGACTTCACTAATGGCGAAGTATACTCGAATTTATAAGACCTTAAGAAAAAGGCGTAAAATCGATACAAAACCTAAAGGTCAAATTGTGCCCGAGTTCGAATACACTCACTCGGGGACTAAGGTTTGAACTACACTCGAGCTCGACCAAACTCACTCGGGGACTGCTTCGAAAAAACCTAAGGGTTAGACTTCACCCGGGCTCGAATAAACTCGTTCGAGGACTATATTGAAAAACGTAAGGTTTGATTTTTTACCCGAGCTCGAATCAACTCACTCGGGGACTGCCTTGAGAAAACCCAAAGGTCGAAGTTCACCTGAGTTCGAATACATTCACTCGGAGACTACTTCGAAAAACATAAAGGACTACCATCGTTCCAAAAAGATAAAAGGCAAAGTAATAACAAGATTGAAAAAGGAGCAATAGATGGCAAAGGGCAATGTTTTATAAAAAAGCTCGCTACCGGAGCAATTACATAAAAGGGGAAAACAAACAAAGCATAGCCTATTCCCGGAGTCAATCAGAGCCATCCTCGAATTCTTCGGGGAACGTCGCCCTTCTCGAAGCGTCCTCAGCTTCGGCGGCTTTGGTGACGTCTGATGCAAGATCGAAACCGCGACGTTGGAGTTCGGTAAGAACTTCAAGCCGGGCCTGACACTTCGCATATTCGGCTAACATTCTTGACTGCTGGTTGGCCGCATCAGCATCGGCCCTATATTGGGCCACCAGATCGTTGGTAGTCTCCTCGGCTTGGGAAACTTTAGCCTCAGCTTCCTGAAATCGATTGGTCCATAGCTCAATTTCAAGGACTCGAGCCTCATTGGCCATACGTCACGGGCATCACGTCACCGATCATATCGTTTATTATCATTACTCTCTAATAAACAAGGGGACTATCTGTATTGGGTGATACCCTTTTTGCTTGAGCCCGACCGGGTTGGGTCCGGTCCGGGGCAAGTCGGGGCCATCGAACCCGACCTGGATGCAAGGTAGAACGACGGCCACGTCAACAACCGAGGTCGAGTCATTTCGAGACCGTTGCAGAGCTCGATATGAGTCACCACCGGATGGAGAAACACACAAGGTCGGAAGCCGGACTCGTAACGGATAACCAAGCGTCGTCGGATATCTCGCCCAAACGTGATTTTCTCAACCACTTCAGGCCATTAAGGCGTAATTACAGGGATCCACGATGTAATTAATTTACCTACCTTATTGTTACCCTTAATCAGAATGTATAAAAGGGGAGAAGACCCCATAAAGAGGGGATCAGAAACCATTACACTACAGTACCATCTCTCTCAATTCTTGTACGCTATCAAGCACAATTGTTCTAAGCAATATTATATTCTGCGATTATTTACTTTAACAGCAATTGTTGAGTCTTTATCTTTTATTTTCCTCAATCCAAACCTTTTGTATCTTTTAGTTCACGGATCCTTAAAACCCCATATAAATTCAATTGTTATCCGGATTCCAGGGTAAACAATCATTTGTTTTGAAACAAACTAAAAAGGAAAGTACCTCATTTAATACGAAACGGAGGGAGTATATGAAAGCAGAAGGTAGGTAACAATTCAGACGTTAGAAAAATGAGGACAATTAGAATCACGTTATATATGTACATGTCTCCCTCTTTTTTGTCTACTACGTACTGAGCTTGTGTGTGGCAACAAATATCCAACATCTCCTGGCTGCAGGCTCTTCTCTCTTAATTAGTCTACCTAACTTCTTTTCCATTGATTCTAATTTTACGTCTGCTTTCTTCTACCATCAAATGGGCTTTGCAAAATTGAATGAAGTAAAACATAGTCAATTCCTAGCTTTCTCAAATGGCCGTACTGCTCTTCACTATGATTGCTTTCTCCAATCTTGTTTCTTCTGCAACAAAACTCTTAGCCTTGACAAAGAAGTGTACATGTACAGGTAAACAATCAGCAGTACATTATCCCCCCCCCCCTACCCACCCACACACACACACCATAGTATTGGTAAATTTTGATATTGAATACTAAAATGCAGGGGTGAGCTAGGTTTCTGCAGTGTGGACTGTAGGAATAGGCAGATATACTTAGATGAAATGAAAAAGATTGAGATTTACACTAAGAAACTGCTAGCATCTTTTGTGCGGCAACGTCGAGAGGCCGGTGGACGGTGTAGTGAAACTACACTTCTGTCGGAGGATTACAGGCAGCCTGGCGAGCCACTGTCGTGTTCTAAAAATCGAGTTACATTCACATTCTCATAGTCGATAATATACTATACTAGTCGGAGCTAGAATTTTTAGTTTATAACTTATGAGCCATAACTCTTATATTTTTCGGGTTCTAAATAAACTATTTTGTACATATTTAATAAATTTAATAATACAAATAAAGAGTTTGAGACACAGCTATTGAGTTCTGCCATACCTGTAACTATAAGGCTGGCTCCGCCCCTGGTATCGCTATTACATATTTTTTCGTTCCCATTTGGTGTCTAGTCCTGCATTGGTCTCAAATAAATACGGATTAAATTCGTGCCAAAAAATCTTGCATAGGAAGGTAAAGCTAGGGCTCCCTAATAAAAGCAATTCCATATCTGGGTCTCGAACGAGACTTCTAATAAAAGATAACCACCTTTTAATTTAATTACTTTTCATAGCTACAAAGAATTTTTAATTTACACATCATACTTTCAGTGTATTCTGTATTTTTCAATGCAAATACAGTTTATATTTTTTGTATTTTTGCATGTATTTATGTATTCTGAAGGTTAGTTTTTGTGGCAGATTTCCTGTATTTTCTGAATTTTTATTGTTTGAATACAACCGCATTAAATATAGTGTAAAACTAACTACAAATGACTACACTAAATTGAATACAACCGAATATTGCTGTATTTTTGATTTTTTGTTGTTTGAATACACTCGAATTGAATAAAGTAAAATTGCATACATTGTAAAATAGTTAAAAATAAATGTAGTATTGAATACAATGTATACAACTGAATTGAATACAACAGCATACACCTTATTTCTTAATTTTATGTTGTTTGGATACAAAGAGTTCAATACAATGAAATTGAATACAATATAAAATATTTAAGAATGAATATTCCGAATTGAATATAATGTATACAATCGAATTGAATACAGCGACATACATCCCGTGACAAGCAATTAGTAGCTACAGAATATAATTAACTAAATTATAGCTACACATGACAATAAGCCTCCAAACAATACTCATTTCTGAAAAATACTTTAAAGAGTATTTACTATTTCACCATAACCTTATTGGATAGTACAACTATTAGAATTAATTTGAGTAATGTGTAGTTGAAGAGAGAAATACATGTTGATGATTGAGTTAATTATTTGCATGAATGTCCCTAACGTTGCAATAATTGTTGATACGTATGATGATTTAATCCTTGCACTTTTTAGATATTTGAAATTAAATTAAGTTGATTTTTTTTTTAAAGGAAAAACCTAAGAAGCGCAAAAGGTTTATTGAACAAAAGTTAATTTTTTCTTCTTCTGAAAATTAGGGTAGGCAAAGGGAAATCAAGAGAAAAATATTGAAAACTTTGTTCTCCCTTATTCAAGGTTTTGAATAATATGTTAAGTTGCTTTCAGTGGCGTACGCAGAATTTTATGTAAGTTATGTCACAATTAATCGGTAAACGGTGACTCATAGAAGTTATGGGAGATGACAAGAGAGATGAAAAGCCAAATAGAGTAGCAGTATGCCAACACATTCAAAAAAAGCAAATCGTAAAGGAGTTCACCGAGTATTTAAATAGATAATTCTTATTAGTAGTAAAACATCCAATCCATTGTGTCTGGTCAACTGGCTTGTCCTTTGTACTTTGTAGCAGGGGTCGGCAGTTCGAACCCGTGCAAATCGAAGCATCTCTTTTTTAACTAGTAAAAAAAGATGCCCCAAATAGTTAACTCACGCAAGCATATGGAATCAAACACCCGACCTTCAGTTTGAGAGCTAGACGCTGGTGTTCGCAATAAATTTTCGTAGTATGGAAAATAAACTGCAACAAAAATAATATAAAGAAAAAAAGATTTTATTGATAAATATTTGTGAGTACAATTCTATGTTTGTGGATGCCTTCACCAATTGCGGAGTGTTCTTCTCCAACTCTGAATGTCCCTTAGAGAGTTATGTAACCCCTCTATTTATAATGGTACAGGATGGACAGTCCAGCTACATATGAACTCTCTTGCTTGATTCTGATTGGTTCATGTGAGTCATCAAACTTATCATATAAGCTATGTGATAAGCTTGCTTGTGATTGGCCAAGACATATCATTTTAGACACTTGGCAACTCTTGATTGGTCACTGTTTTAGACTGGGATTGCCACATCACACGTGGCGTCATCTTGTTGGCTTTGAGTTTGACTGGATATGCCATGTCACTTGGCACATGGTATGAGTCTGGGCCTTAAGATGAAATGGAACTTGGGCTTAAAAATAATAAAATGGACTAATTTAATTTGTAAAGTCCATATTAATTACTTAACCCAATTGAGTTTAATTCAAATTTTGTATGAATTAGACCCAATAAATTTTATATGTCTACAGATGCTCCCTACTTCAAGATTGTCAAGGTGTCGACTTGTTGAACCTTAGACGAGGCTTGAAGTACCTGTGACAATAATTACTCCACATCTTTTCATCAAATGAAGTATTTGAGCACTTAGATAAGCAGTAACCTTTTTTTGTGAAAAGGCGTTAGACGACCTAAGCTAAGAATTCCAAATCCACGTTGGAGAAAAAAACAAAGTTAACTTGAACAAAATTTTGCTTAAATAAAACAGCCCTTTGAATAAGAAGAATATAATCTCTAGATACAAAGTCCACGTAGAAATTGATTACTGCTTCCTCTTGCACTTAGAATTGTGACAGTAGTAAACTTAGCAAGATAGTAATTTGAGTCCATCTAATATTCAATTGCTTCAACCGTCCTTTAACTCTATATATAAATAGACAGGAGTTGACCCTTAAAACACATGAACAGAAAAGGATCATCATGACTCACAAGCTAACGCAAAGAAACCCGCATTTATTCTCGAAATATCTGGCTAAGTATCTGTCAAATTATTTGACATCTTTCGTTGCTTCCTTCTGCTTCCTGTGCCTTACTGCCCCTAATTAACGTACTAATCTGTTATTATTTCCCTGTAGATTTCCTACTAAACAATAGCAGAATACTCAGAGCCATGGACGAGCCCCGCAACTACGTACATTGATTACAGAGAAATGTTGCAATTGCATTGATCACAAAGGAGTCCTGAGCTTTAGATTAGCGGGTCAGACACATGCTCAATCATGATAAGCTTGATATCACTGGTAACTCAATTTTTCAATAACGACGAAGCATTGAGAGACAACACCGTAGCAGGGATGTACGACGCTAGAGCAGCCCTCAAACTCAATAGAGATCAACTAGATCACCAAAAAGCTTCGTGCACTTAGCATCGTGGGCTCCCGCATCCTTCCCCCCCCCTCTTTTTTTTGCAGGTTTATGAGGATGTGATGGCAAAGGCTTTAGATGCTTTCACAAGTTGTGCTCGCTTGCCCTAGTGGAAGATGCTCGACTTTGGGATGTAAAGTTGTTCATCTTGTACTTTTGAGGACTTGTGTTCGCCATCCAAATTGGAGAGGGCTCTGACCTTTCACTGGCACCGTATCCGCAGAAGCAGAAACGTCGTGCTATGGCACCAAGGACTCCTAAAATATTTTCTTTTGTAGGATTTTGAGAGAGTTCCAGCGATCTTGATGTCCCTAGGAAGATGCATTGCAAGCGAATCACTCATCTCTGCATTGCGGCTTGGCGAGAGAGACACATGAAGTGTCCTTTCAACTTCGGCGATGAAATCCCTACTCTTGGAGGCTCGGAGAGACCATATTTCATCAGTGGCGAGTGCGACATGTACCACATCGCATTGTTGCAGGCTGGCGAGGAAGACAACTGGAGTAGGCCTTTCCAACTTCGGCGAGCAAGCACTTGGCGCGTCTCCGCAGCTTTGACTTCATAGGATTTCATGCTCGCATTGAAAAAATCGTATCTCGACCTAGGAGTGTCCAAACTGCAATCCGCTTGGTTCTGGAGAATCAAAACTTGCACCACAGCGACATATCCAAAATTTAGGGCCAAATTACATCAGGACAAGTCGGAATGAACTTTTGAAGCGATGCACAAGTCTGTGATTTCGGCTTCACAGCACTGCATGCTATCATTGGAACGCATATATCTCAAGCTAGGAATGTCCAAATTGCTAGACATTTGCTCCACTGGAAAGAAGACTCAGAAATAAGGAAATTCCCAAAGTATCATGGAAGGATTCCTAGCAGATTAGCCGCAGAAATATTTTGAAATTGACCCACCTGTCTGCCGAACTCGCTATTCAGCTTTGTGCGCACTCGCGGAAAAATTCATATCTCGATATACAAGTGTCGGAATCGCAAGCCATCTGTGCCATTGGAAAGAACACTACAATTTCTGTAACACTTGAAGATATCATGGACGAACTCCTTTCGGATTGCCCGCAACAGTAGTTTGAAATTTCTCCTAACGTCTGCCGCACTTACGATCCAGCTTTGCGCACTTTTGTAGAAAACTTCATATCTCGAGCTTCGGGTGTTAGAATCGCGAGCCGTTTGTGTCATTAGAAAGAAAAAAATGAGAGAAATAACACCTGAAAATATCATTGCATAATTCCTTTTGGACTGGCCACAATAATTTCTCGAATTCGTCTAGGTGTCTGTCATGCGTTTGTTTCTGCTTTGCGTACTCCTGTCGAAAGATTCATATCTCGAGCTAGGAGACTCCAAATTGTGATCCGTTTGCACCGTTAGAAAGTACACTCATAGAGCTGCAATACATATGAGTTTCGTGGCAGAACTCCTTCCGAGCTAGAAACAGAAAATTCTCAAAATCCACCTAGCTGCAGTAACTTTCAGATTCGTGTAGTTCCGGCGAAAAAAATCATATCTTGAGCTAGGGGCATCCAAATTGCAAGAGGTTTGTTATTACAAACTAGACATCAAAATCTACAACATATAAAATGTTAGGAGCAGAACGTCTTCAAGATGGACTGCAGTAGTTTTCCAAAGTTGATCCCGTCGTGTGTCGAGCTTGCTTTCCAGCTCTATGCTCTCTGAGTTGTCCTACAAATGTTTTTTTTCTTCTTGAAATTGACTCTACAGTCTTGCATGTAGTAGCTTTGGATATATGCGTCACAAATCTTATCTCTTCATATTTCTTTTGTAGACTCGCAAAGAAGCTCAAAGAGTCCGGATATCAGACCGAGGTGTCATACAAGATGTGGAGCCACCCCTTCACCAACTATTGCACTTGATTTGTTGATAGTCTTGAAGCTCATCAATGGCGGCTCCCATGGTGATTGGGACCTTCAACCAACAATTGAGGATGACATCTGATGTGGAGACATCATATATACTTGGAAAAGCATTTAGACGCGTCACCAATAAAGCCTAGTTTACGATCATCTTCATAATTTAGGCTTTTGTATAGAAAAATCTAGTTCCTATTGTCTCTACATTTTTAGATGTACCAACTTTTGTACTATTGAAGCAATAAAACATCTTTTATACTTCAACGCAAATCGTCTCCTTTTCCTCGTAGATA